CATCTATATATATGAAGAGTTTAATTGAAGTTACCCCCAAATGGGGGGACAATTCACCTACTAGACACCAGGACAGACTAACAAATAAAAAGTCCAGTGCAAGGAATGGGTTACCTCTGTTGGAGTTATTAGCCAATGGTGTCCCCCAAAACATTACTGGTTAATTGCCATTGCTCTTGGCTACTCTCCATAACTTGGCAGTAAGACCATATTGCTGAAGACACCACATCCTTGAGTCACAGAACATGGAGAAATCAAGTTGATATTGACCTGCATTCATAGTGCTGGAAGGTGTTACCCATGTTACAGGAAGAGAAAAGTAATCATCTCTTACTGAACTGTGAACCCTCCAATATACAATGACAGTTGGCTGGGCAAGACCGCCCACTGGTGCAACAGTGGCATGAATGTCATGGGAGTAACCAGCCACTTTCTCGTGGATTTAAGGCCTGTCCTACGAGTTATAACCCATACCTGGCAGCATTATCAGGGCCAAGAGCCTATTGCTAGACTGGTCATAGGCCATAGGAGAGATTCCACTACAATGATTCTGCTAAACGGACAAAGTATGAAATCAACTCCCAATGACTTATCATTTCACCCTTTGATTAGTGCATCTCTCAGCCCTCATCAGAGAAGCTTCTTTTTGTAGTTGATGGCAATTCACACGGAGACCCGCAAGTGATCAAGGTGCAGAGAACAAGAGACTACACAGTGTTCAGCCCTACATGGCATTTATATTACATCTCTCCCCAAGGCTCATGGAGCATCATGAGAGAGAGGGTGGAAAGATTGTAAGAACCAGAAGTGATGGATGACTACCATGAAACAGTGCTTTCTGGATTGAACAGGGCAGTCGCACTTATGAACATACAGTGTTGTGTCAGCATGCCCAATTCCTGTTCAAGCTCAAGCAAGACAAAATATCTAAGCATAGATGTGGGTGGGTTGCGGGGGGGACCTGAAGTTTCCCTCCCATAGCTGAGGAGCTATTGGTAATTGAGAGCTGCTGGAAGAAGGTGGTCATACCTTCTTTAGGGGTATGATCCCTTGGTAGGTTGACCATACTCTAGAGGATGGAGCCATACCAAGGAATATTTGGGCAATGCAAACTGGACTTAGTGGGCTTAAAAGGAAAAGAGGACCCGAAATTGGGTGGATAGGCAGGTAGGGGTGGATTTAGAGGAGATGGGGAGAGGGGAGTGAATATGATCAAAACACTTTGTATGAAATTCAAAGGTTTCATAAAAATATTTAAGATTTTCTCTTCTAGCTAGTTTAAGAAGTAGAAATTGTTCTTAACTGCAGTCATCCACCGTGCCATAAAAATGGACTTACTCCTCCTGTGTATCTGTAGTTTGGTATCTACTATCCATCCCCTCCCTCCCCACAACCTCTGGTGACCTCTGTTCTACTCTGCACTCACATGACGTCATCTTCTGTCCTCCACGTAAGTGAGACCATGTGGGATTGTCTGTCTGTCCTTGGAGAATTTCTGTAATAAAATAGCCTCCTGGCTCATCCATGTTGTTACAACCGATTTCATAAGGATTTCATAAGGATTTCATTCCTTATGGTTGTGTAGTATTCCACAGTACATATATCACATTGTTTTTATTCATTCATCTGTCCATGGGCACCTAGGTTGAGTCTACCTTGGCAGCTGTGAACATGGAGTGTAGGATGTCTCTTTGACGCACTGGGTTCCTTTCCTCTGGATTTGTTCTTAGTAGAGAGATT